AAGCCATAATAACATCAATTAATTTCTGGACTTATTAAAATAATCAAGTAGTCCAAGAAAGACTAAATGCAACGGAATTACATAGACAAAAATATACCACCCAAAGAGATTAACGCATGCTGTCAAAAATACATGTTGATGTAATCCGAATTTAATTGGACTATCAAACGAATCATAATGAATATTCGATTTTATAAAATCAACACTAATGAATAAATAAATATATTATGCGCATATTAAATTTAATTGCAGATACATTAACATGCACAAATTAATTGATAAATTATGTAATCATCAAATGAATGTCAATCTCAACTAAAATGATTGATTAAATAACTAAATTAATCTAATCATAATACCAAAAACGGGAACAAATAATCAAGTTCTTGATGATGGTTCTTTCCAATGAATTTTGCATCAGATTAATTCATGAATAAAAATTGACAACACAATGCATTAATTAATTTATTTTGTTGAAAGAAATAAATAAACAAATATACGCCGGACTAACACAATTGCCAATGAAATTATTTTTTTTCTGATTTCCATCCAAATATTCAAAGGCAGGTCAAGATTTTCAACACGGCGTCATTTATAATGCATAATACTGAATGTTGTATTATAGTTATATGCTCTATAATTAGCATACCAATCCTTCTAATTTAATTTTACAACAATATATATGTGTTGATTTCACACGGATATACTCGTATACATGGATAAGAATGAAATTTAACATTCTTATTATTCACAAAATTAACAATAAAATAAATAAATGTAAACAAAAAATCTACAATGATGCAGATCTAATTTTGTAATTTCAATTAAACTTTAATATCCAATTTGATCAAATAATCAGTTTAATCAAGTCAGTATACCCAAATGTCCAAGTATAAATAACCCGACTAATTAATTGATCAATGCACATATATATAAATATACATCCTTATATACAGTGTGGTCGTTCACAAATCACTATGCAAATTCAATATCATTTAATTTTGAGATTGCTACTTCACACCAGCACAAGAAACATACCACTGATATATACAATGGCTAAATAATGAATGCCTTTAATAATCAATCACGCATATTTGATGTATCGGTTCAATACTTGATGTATCGGTTCAATTAAAATTAAATATAATTGATCTAACCAAACCAAATATCCCAATAATTCAATACGGAAAGACTCTGATACCAATTGTTGGAACTTACCAGGAATTTAACCCTAAGCCCAGGATCTACCGTATAGTCATAATTGAGATAAAAATAAAGCAAAATAAATCTAACCTTATTCCATTAGTATAGTCGAATTCGGATCTGCAAACAATAGAGAGTTTTGTGTTCTTCAAACCTATGGCGCAACCCCTCCTGAGAAAACCGCTAGGGTTTCTGCCGTTACTCCCATGATGAGATATGAAAATATTGCATCTAGACCTGGGATCATAACCCTATTTATATTCCTTTGTATTAATTGGTCTCATCACCAAATTAATAAGTTATCGGGTTTCTGTATATTGGAGGCCCGCACTTACTAAACACATTTAAGCCTAATAAATTAATAGATCACTTAATATAGGCTTAATCTGACTGATAGCCCAAATAGTTACATTTAACTCACAATTGATTTTTAATCCAACAAAAATTGCTACAAATGATTATAATAAGCGGAACAAATATATTTACGACAATATTTTGTCAAAACTGTATTTGTTATGAACAAATTAGTGAAACAAATAAAAATAAATAAAAGTTGACCAAATCTAAAAAAAAACTTCATGATATTGTCGTAACTGAAACTATCTTTTGCTACGGATCTATTGTTGCGGCTATAAAACTCCTATAAAATGGCAGTTTTTTCAGCTTATAAGCAGAAAAAATAAATCATTGTTGTCTATATATTATCATTTTAAATAAATTTAAAGAATATTTTGATGAGAATGTTACTTTATTGTATGATTACTAGAATATAGTAAAAATAGATAGACAATTTACATATGTTTTTTTATAAGTTTAGTGCATTTTAGTGAAATCAATTAGACCACTTCATATATGAAGGTTTGTTGCTTTAAATTCATATAAATAGAGAAATATGACAGATATAAAGCTATTAGCGCTCCACTTTTATATTTGAAACACATTTATTAAAAATAAAAATTAAAATTAAGAAGATGTGCTTATTTAAATTGAATTTGAATGATTGAATAGTAAAATTAAGAGGAATACATATCACATGCCCAACAAAATAAGGTTGAAGGTGAATTCACAATAGCTTTCTCAATAAAGTAGGAAGGATGAGAAAGAAGGCATAAACTTCAATAATTAAGGTAAAATGCAAATGAATGTCTATTCTCAAAGAACCACACAATCAATATATTACATATTTATTCAAACAAAATGTATACATATTATTGGGTTCCCGTTTGTGAATAAATATATTAATAATACGTTTTCTTAATAGTTTGAACTTTTAGGTGAGACGATCATTTTGCGCATATATTTAATATTTTACAAAACTATGTCCACCTAATAAGTGTTAAATCCGAAAAGAAGTGCAAATGTTAATTCGAAGAATAGACTAAGTTCATACATGAGACACTTAAATTTGGCGGGGCCCATTGCAAGAAAAATATATATCTTAACTGGATAAAGCATAACAAAGATCATGCAAGCACTCACTGAAATAATGGTACAGATTCATGCTTACAAATAAATTTTTAACTTACATACGATTAGCTACGCATTGGTTTTTTCCTTTTCTTAATAAAAGAACTAAAGGCAATATCTCTAAGACATCAACAATATGAAGCCCTAAGCTATTTAGTCCAAATATCATTGATCTAAGCTAATTTAAAATCAAGTAAGATGGTGAAGCCTGCTACATGAAATGGAAAGTCGGGAGACCGTCAGCATCCATTCAAATGAGGCTTGTAATCGATGAAGAGATATCTGTCGGGAGAAGTATCCGCTCAATCGGGAGAGAAACCGCTGCAGTCGCTAAGGCATCTGCAACGCGGTTCCCTTCTCTATATATATATGAGATATCCACCAAGTCATGTCCCTAAGCCGTAACTGAATACACGTAAGACATCGTTGGAGAGTCCAGTAGCTCGTCTCGGAGGAGATCAGGGAGATGCATGCTATCGAATCTGTCTCAATCCATAGTGGCATCAATCCTCGATCAATCACTATCCCTACTCCAGTCTGAATCGCCGTTAGCTCTTCTAAAGTTTTCGTCACCTGTAGAATCGGAGTCTGAAACGCAATGAGAACTGCTCCTGCCGAATCTCGAATAATAGTTTCCGCTCCTGCTGCCCCGGGATTGCCAAGCGAAGCACCATCTGTGTTAAGCTTGAACCATTCCGGAGATGGTGCCTCCCATTGCACCATAATCGGAGGCCGAGGGATCGGAGGGGGGTATCAAAATCCAAGTTCATCTGCTATAGGAAAATCGCCCACCCAATTTCGATGTAATAGAATCCTTGCACGCCAAAGAGTCTGCAAGTGTCAATGAATCCACCAGATGATCCTCTCGGAAGATACGCGAAGCCCCTTGTGCTTCTCATCTTTCCGAGCAATCCAAATGAACCATAGTATCAACAACGGAACATACGCTCTAATACTCTGAGAATGTGCCGAAGAAAGCTGCCACGAAGACACAAATAGATGCAACGTATGTGTCTCCAGCAAGGATATCCTAAAAGGCACCGCAAAATGCTCCTACACTCGCCAAGCAACCACCGAACTAATAAAAAGATGCGAGATAGTCTCGACCTCCATGTGACAACAGTGGCATCGTAAGACAATCGAAATGCCATAATGCTGGATAATCTCATATGTCGGTATCCGTCGCCGAAACAATCTCCATAGAAAGACTGACATCGTCGGAGTAAGGATACGTGACCACAATATCCCCGACAGTCAACTCCGTACCCCCATATTACGGAAAAGCTCCCAAGCTGAGGATGTAGTAAATGTACCCGGATGACGATTAGCTATGCATTGGTTACTTGATATATCCATTAGGATCATTATATTATACTCTCTCCGTCATTCAAATGTATGCTTATTTTCTTTTTTGGGTTGTTATTAAAAAAATATTGTCGTTTTCTTTTTAAGTAAAAAATTATTACACTTTTGTATTTTTTTTTATTATAAAAGGAACTTAAAGAAAGGGTTAAATCTTGTACTTTCTTGAATTTTAGCAGACACCCCTATAGATAGCTTAATCATCATTTTGGGTGATATAGTGTTCAACGCCTTTAAGGTTTTGTTGAAGTTTCGACTAGTAGCAAAATGCGAACGACCAAATCTTTGTCGAACATTACCATATCGATCATTGTGTCCTGCAATGATCAAGAATGTTGCCACCATTTCTTCTACAGATATGTATCTGGTATCTTCCAAATAAGTTTTCTCTCTGATGATAGTGCATAACTTTAGAAATGCATCTGGATACATTCTATACAACTGTCGAAAACTTTGTGGATCTCCTTCAATCATATCACGTAAAAAATAGTATCCATTTTTTCTAATTGATCGTCGTTTTAAATTAGCTCCAATATGCTGAGGTGTCATAGAAATTTTTCCTAATAAAATAATCACTGCCTTAATTGCCAACATTAGAAGCCTTACATTTTCATAAAGCTCCATCTCCAAATCCGTTCAATTTCTTCTTCCAGTATTTCACGAATTTCCATGCTTTATATAAAAATAGATAGTAAATCAAATTAATTAATCCACATAATATAATTTAAACAAATATATCTTTTTAAAGCAAATTTAGAAATTCTTACATTCAAGTGCATACAATTTTAAAAAATATATAACTTAAATAATAACAAAAATATTGAGTTTATTAATTTCAAATATGGGCACAAAATAAAGTCTTAAAAAGAATCTCAACATAATAGTGATTAAAAAAAAAAAATTGTAACAAAATTCCAACAAAATATAGCATATTATCTAGTATATTATTTAAATAATCACTGCTCTCTAATCTTGTAAGCTATCCAATTAGCTCTTTCTTCGATAGTCATCTTTAAAAATCCGTCTTTTTTTGACTTGGTGTCAAGCAAGTCAAATGCCTTCAGACGAATGTCTTCGTCCAAATTTGGGATCTCTTTGATAGCATCCCAAGTTGTATATGTTATTTCTCTTTCTCTTTTCTCTAGTATAGTATCTATTTTCTCTAAAAGATGATGAACTTCTTCAAAAGTGCTTGTTAGTTTTTTAATCTCTCCCATGAGCTCTTTCTAAAGAATATTTTCAGTGGAACTAGAATTTGCTTCACATTGAACTCTACTTCTTTTGGGCTGACTTCTTTTTTTATTTGAAACTTCACGCACTTCAGGTAACTCTGAACATGGTGCAGAACCATATGATTGATCATTTTCAGATAGTCCTACAAATATCTCATTTTCAGCATCATAACTCAAATCTTCTATGCGTACATTTCTATTTTCATCATCTCCTAATGTCCTTGCATCAGTAGCACTACCCAATCCAATAGAGTTGTTTCCAACAACAACACCATTTCCTACCGCAATAGCCAAGTCCTCATAATCAGAACATTCTCCATAGCACAAGCACGCATCTTTTGAGTGAGCCTAGCACAAATAATATATATATATATATTTACTCACTATATTATCAAAATAAATTAATGCTATAATATTATTATAATATGATGTTTAAAAAGCTTACCTCTAAGTACGCATCCCATACTTTCATCTGAGGCTGTAAACTTTTTAATAGTTTTATCGTACCCAAAACCAGAGCTAAACTACATGAGATTTGAATAGGAAATCCAACGATTTTTAAACCATTTAAGACGGCTTTGGTAATTGCTATACGCTTTATTACACCGAAGTCTTTCATCAAGAATATGAAGTATTTTTTCTTCCACTGTTGCTTTGAAAAAAACACCATTATTATCACACCATCCCCGAGTCGCAGCATCAACCATGGGTTCTAACAATAAATCGCTTTGTTCCATAGTTCACTATTCGTATGGTGTTTTTTTTTTTTTTAAGTCTTGCTGCGAATCCTCCATAATAGTATACTATATTAACGATACAAAATAGCCTATTAAGATATATACATAAATAATTTAACACTTTAATTTTTTTTTTTAATATAAAATATATAACTAAACACATTGCATATAAATAATTAAGTAATTAAATAAAAAAATAGATATCTTTCTTTTTATATTTTCTACATAATAGGCCACGAAAAAAAATATAGTAAATATTGTAACAATGTTGAATTGGATACGACATAAGATATTTTACAAACATAAAGCATATAATTAACAAATTATAAAATATAAAAAAAGATTAATATGTGCAGTAAATACAAATGAAATTGATCAATAATATGAAATCAAAATCAATTTAAAAAGTAAAAATATCTAAATCTTACAGGAACCGTAAAGGAATGTGAAAGAACGAAAAAAGTCGATGCAGCAATCGACGCCAAATCAGTGCAATCGGACAAAGATAAGAGAATACAAAAAATTGCACAAAAGCAATGATAGCAGAAGCAACTCAGACGGCGGCCGTGACTTTTAGGTTTGTAAACATATTTATATTATATATAATATAGCCCATAGTATTATATTCTATAATTATATTATAGAATATTATATATTATTAATAACGTATAATAATTATAGAATAATAATATTTTTATATATTAATATTTTAATATTTATAATTTTAATTATATTACTATTTATTATATTAATTTGTTTTAGTTTATTAGAATTTTAATATAATTTTTTAAATGTGTATATGTATTATTAATGTAACAAATAATGTAAACTGGCAATGAGATATAATGGATATGAAAAAAAGTAATATCTCATTGTCAAGTGATTTTGGTTCAAATCTTTTCCATATTTTTTTAATTAAAATTATTTACATATTTTTGTATGCAACCAAAAATAAGAAGTAATAAATTAAAATTTTCAATTAAAAATATATATTTTCGAAAAATTTGGTATAATTTGCTATTATATTATATTTTTTAAAACTGTTATATTTTTCACTAATATATTTTGAAATTATTATTATTTTATTTAAATATTACATAAATACTATCATAATATTTATCACTTATAATAATAATAATAATAATAATAATATATTTTTAAGAATCCATCAAAATCTATCATGATTAGGTGAGATTTTGTACTATACAATTTTTTCATAACTTTCATCTAAAATCCAATAAAATCCATAGACTTTAAAAGTATATGGATTGTTGAATACCTTCGGATTTTAAAAGACTTTTAAAAATTTAGATTGAATACCGTCTAAATTTTAAAAGACTTTTAAAAGTCTCAATTAAATACTCCAAATTTTAAAAAACTTTTAAAAATCTGGATTGAATACACCCGGATTTTAAAAATTCAATAGAATCCTACAAAATCAAGAATGAATACACCCCCCTTAGTTCAAACTTTTGTTTGTATTTTGGTTGATTTTTTCTTTAATAAAATCAAGTCTATTCCACGATTATTTCGTTACAAAATCGAGAGAAATTCTAGTTGAGCGTAAAAAAAAATGCATGTCTTAACGCAGCAATAGTAAAACCTAAAAGAAACTATTGTCACTTTCTTCGGTAAATAATGTGTAATAGAATGTACCTGGATGTCTTAAACAGACGAGCGTAGCAGATTCGATCATTCGGGCACAAAATATGCGTGGAAGAGAGGCTGGAGCATTTCATCCTCCCATTGCAACATACTCCACCACCAATGACTTCCTCTGATCTCCTTCAAACTGCCTTGTCCGCTTCTCGAATCAAATGGCAGCCGTTGTAGTCTGCGACATGATAGCACATGCATCTCAACGAGCGATGGAAACGACAAAGGATGCGGATACACACTTTGGAGGCATGGCACATTGATCAAACGTATTCTTTTAAGCCGGGAAAAAATGCTCGATTCTGCTTCAAGCCCTGTACTTTGATTACGACGACCACTCACAACTTCGACCATTGACGCACAGTGAGCCACGTCAAGAAGTTCGAGCATTGGATCATACGTTAGCCATGTCAGGTCCAACAACTCGTCGCAATAAGCAACGTATACGCTACTGAGGCTACGGAAACTTCCCCGAGATATGAATTGATCGGGTGCACGAGAAATTCCAGCTGCATGGCTACGCTCGAATTCCAAATGAATTATCAACTGCTTCATTTCACAGTAATAAATATCAAGCCTCTGAAGATGTCGCATTCTTTCGATGGATGAAGATGAAAACTCGAGCCGCGTCAATCCCTCGCATCGCTCGAGGCAAAGAGAACTTAAGCAGTTCAGGATCTTGTATGAATTCTTAAGCTTTTCGATTGAGTATCGATCGAATAGCGTGATCGATATATCGTTAATGTCTCGAAAGCCTTCCAATAATTCTAACAACTCTCTCCTACCGCTGCTTAAAATGTTATTTTCCACATCCTTATACGATGCAGAGTTATTTCCAAACAGTCGCAGTACACGCAACATGGAAAAGCTCGATATCACCTGCCGAGGAATCGTTTCCATCCTGTATGTAGAATTCAGCAGCAAGTATTTCATTTTTGTCAAGTTCTTGAGCTCCACCGGCAATTCCCTGATTCGGGTGTGTGATAAGTTGAGAAACTGAAGTTGTACCAACTCACCGATGCCGGATGGCAACTCCGCTAGATGAGCGTTACGCGATAAGTCTAAAACCTTTAGGAAAGCCATGAACTGCAAGAATTGAGAAGGGAAGACTCTCACCGCAGTGTCTCTCGCGACGAAAGTTAAAGCATTTGGCCAAGATCGAACTTCTGGAACAGTTCTAAAGCTACTTCCCCACAACGACACCCTTTCAGCCTCCACCCTCGAAGAAAGTAATTGTGTTTCAAGCACATCGACGTGATCGATCACCAAATATCTATTCACGCTTGTTTTGGATCCACCGGAAATCCATAAAGCCATGTCGTGAATAACATCATGCATTTTGACATACTCTTCGGACTCTCCGTCTTCCAGAAGGCTCGCGGCTTTAAGGCTTTTGATAATATCTTGTCCTTGATCAAAAGCTTCGTGCACATCATCAAATTGATCTAGAAACCCCTCTCCGACCCAGAGGGCCAAGAGGTCATTGACCAAAATTTCATGGTCTTCCGGATATATGCAGCAATAAGCAAAACATGATCTGATGGTGTCGTTGCGTAAGCTGTCGTAGCTAAACTTTAGAATACGAAACACGTCATCTTCCATGCCTGTGATCTCAGAGGGATCCTTTCTTAGCTTCGTAACTGCTCTGTCCCAGTCATGGAGATCCCTTTTTCCAGACATGGCTCGCCCCACAGTGATTATAGCAAGCGGCAAACCTTTACATTCATTCGCAAGAATTTCGGCGCGCTTTGGTATGATCGGATGAGCATTCAGAGTGGTCGTCCCGACTTTCTTCTTGAACAGAGCCAATGCTTTATCCTTTGTCAAACATTCGATTTTGATCTGCTTATCTGATTCCATATACCCGCAAACATCCTCAAACCGAGTCGTGAAAACCACTTTAGAAATTCTTCGATTGTCGGGAGCGGGGACACCGACCTTCACAAGATCCACTCGCCTCCATAAGTCGTCTAACATGAGCACAAATTTCTTAACATTCAAAATCTTGAAGATCTGCACTGCTTTTTCATCCTCGCCTTTGTTCTTCCATACATTCTCTGGAAGCTTAAGCTGTTCGCAAATGGCATCCTGAATTCTTTCGACGCTCGAATGTTTTGACACTACGACCCAAATCACTTGATCGAACCCATAGTTTTCCTCCAAAAAACTGTTGTTGATCATCTTCAGAAGCGTAGTCTTTCCCACGCCTCCCATCCCATGTATTCCGATAACCTTCACCTCGCTATCTTCAATCCATCTTTTCACTTGTTCGAGCACCGAATCCAATCCAATGGAATCCTCTGAAGGTCTCTCATCGACCACACCACGCGGCATCGCCTCTGCTACAGATTCAAAGTTCCCTTCAATCCTTAGCTCCTCCACAGCTTTGAGCTCCACCCTAACTTCCTTGCCGAGCTTGTATCTCGACCAACAGCCAAAACAGCTCAAACAGCCACTCCTCATTCCACTCGACTTTTCAAGAACTTCCCCGACACTTTTGTTCGCGGATTCGACCTTGCACAACCAGCCATCGACTTGCTTATTGGGCACCATCTGCCTCTCCTCTTCAAGTGCTACTATTCTCTTCACATCCTCAAATACATTGTTCAATTGCTCCAGTGCATTTTCTAATGCTTTTGCATCATTTTGCAAGTTTAGGATTGTGTTTGCTTTCTTCGACATGCAATCACACAAGCAGATAAAAATTTCCAAAATAGGGCCAATGAACTCCATGAATATCATCCACAGTTGAATTTCACAACCACTCGAACAATCTTAAGCTCCAATTATCACACACAACAATCATAAATCAGAGTTAGAGAGAAACAGAAAGAAGTTTCACCGAAAATTGAAAAATCCAATTAAGTTAATTCCCTCAGAAACCCAATTGTTAACACCTTAGACTGAATCCAGCAATTTCAGATAAATTAGTTGCGTAGCTAACCAAATATATCGAGCTCTACTCAGAAATGACCAGATTAAGAAGAAATTTAACACCTAAAATATGTAGTACCAATGCCGATGCATACAGTCAAACCTCAGATCCAGTTTGGTCTAGTTGTCGTATGAGCAGAATTCCACCGTCTTCATAAAAGCATAATTATAACGAAAAGATATGAAGAATGAACTAGCTTTGAATTAATGGAGAAGGAGAAGCTCTGGAAACATCACCTGCACGGCTTCATACTTCACATAGTTCCTTCGGCCATTTTAGAGAAGAATTACTCGTCAGAAGTGTTATTATACTGTACCATGATTGTTCAATCCACCTACCATTATAAAAACAAGTAATTTTATCATTTATAAAACTGCCTCCATCCTCCGTCATTTAACGTCACATTTTTCTTATTTTAATTAACATTAAAAATATTTATATATATATATATTTTTATAAATATTATTTTATTAGTATTATAACATACTAACAAAAATATACTATATTTTGATATAATAATTAATATTAAAAAATCAAAATTAAAAAGAAAATAAATAAATAAAACCTTAAAATCGAACAGAAATAATATATTATACATAATGCAATTCAGTGCTTTCATCCGAGGAGGACGTAGTAAAATGTTATTATTATTATTATTATTATTATTATTATTATTATTATTTTGATAACTTGAAAATCATGTAAATTAGGTCGGACAAGGAAGTCACACCACCATACTACTCTTTATCGGGCATATTATTTTTTTACATTATACTAGTAAGGAGTATGTACTTCGTATTTATAAAGGATAAATTATAGATTTAGTCTCAAAAATTTGAAAGCAAATTTAAAAAATAGTTTCCGATCTAATTCAAAATTCGAAACTATTTTCTGAAGCTAAAATATAATTTTTCTGATAGTGAAATAATTATTGATAGTATAAAGAAAAAATATTATTTTAATATTATATTTATATTTTAAAAAATATGAATTAATTATTTCAAAAGAATTTTATTTTAATTAATTGATTAATCGTAGCATTTCAAATTTTAAAGAGATACCAATTTTTATTTATTTTTTAATTAATTGAATAACAATTTCAAATATAATAGGGTATTAAATTTTTTAATGGTAATATACTTTTTAAATTATAAACATTTTGTGTTTGTATACTATTATGAAAAATTCTCCATTTGTCGTCTCTGGGCAATTTTTTTAGACTTTTATGACAAAATTCAGTTTTCATTCGAAATCCACCTAACTTTGAGGACAGTTTTGACTTCCGAAAAGTTTTTGGTCAATAATAAAAGATCCTTAAAAGTAACATTGGAAATTTAATCGATGATCCTACAGTCATAAATTTATCCCCATATTATTCACATAAATTAAATAAATTTCATATATATAAATTATATATATATATTTGACTAGGCATTATAATTCTCCCGTTCTCATAATTTTGAAGTTTTATTATTATATTTTTAATATTGACTTTGGATAATTATTAGAATTTGCTAATAAGACTAGGATTATCTATATATATATACTTCAGTTTTAATTATATAAATAATCTGGTTTAAAACTTTTGATTTTATTTTTAAAAATGCGTATTCTTTTTATAAATACTCATATATTTTCTTTGATTCTTCACTAGAATATAAAGAAGAAAAAAAATATAAGAAGAATACACTGATCGGAAGAAGGATATGGAAAAATTGTCTCATCAAACTCAAATTTTCAGGGAGTATTCATGTTTGGTTGTTCTTTCAATCCAACGGTGAGTTTTGCAATCAGTGTTTGTAGTTTGACCAAAATTTTACAGACTTTGACAGATTTGTATTGTATCTTTTTCATATTTTATTTGCCAATATAATTTATTATAGTTGTTCACATTCTTGCAAGATGATTGTATTTTTTTTATAAATATATACAATGAAATTTTTATAGTAAAATTCTTTATTTAATTTTAAAAATTTTAAACTTGATTATGCATAAATTAATTATTATTATATTGATTGTGTTATTCTTATTGTTATGCATTCTTTTTATTTTTACAAATTAATTCCAATATTTATACCGCGAATGCAGAAAAAATAAGAAACGAAAAATCGAAAAAAGAAGAAGCAAAAAAGAATACAATGTATGTATTTTTTATTTGTTATTTTATTTTACTCATCAATTTTTTCATTTTAATTGTATATATATTTTTTCAAATTGATTTGAAAGAATATTTAGAAAATCAATATATACATGCTTGTAATCATGATATAAAAATTTTATTTTTATCATAGTAGTTCTATTCTTATTGTCTATATATCATTAATTTATCTATTACATTGTTATTATTTTCTATAAATTATTTTTTTTAAAAAAAAGTATTGTTTACATGGTATTTTTCAAATTGATTTATTTCGAATAATATTATATATATATGAACGGTAAATATTATTTATAAAAAAAAAACTATTAAATTAATATATAATTTAATTTAAAAATAACTTATGTATAATACAAATTACATGTTAGTAATATAAATATATATTGAGCCCCTTATTTGTATTGAGTCGTGGGCGGACCTGGACCCTGACCCAGGCCGCCTTGAACCTAGCTATGTAAAATACAAAAGCTCTTAACTAAAGAACAAACAAGACTTGTTTCATTGCCAATAATAATCAAACAGAGCTAACAAACCTATAGAGTCAAATCCGATGATTCATATTCTCAACTCTACATTATTTGAAAGATCACATAAATAAGTTTTTGGAAACATACGGGATGTTCAACAATTATTAGGGTTTTGGTCTGTTGGCTCCTCATTTCCACCTCTTCCACCACCTGATCCATTTTGTTCCGGCAATGCTGAAGAACTTGAACTGCGATTTTGGAGCTCTCTGCGCCGAGCTCTAAGCTGATCCTGCATGTTCTGTAACTCTTCTATCCATTCTATGGTTTCCTCGTCAGTTAGACTCGAAATAGGTATTTGCTCCAACAAGCGAATCCTTTGAACCACCTCAAACTCTTCCAACGGATCTTGTTGTTCGCGTGAATTTTGTTGCGTATCCTGCATCTCATTTATGTTATCAGTAAGGCTACTCATCTGAGCCCTTGTGTCGGCTTCTACGGCACGTTCATAAATGCTCGGTGGTTGGGAAAATGAGTATGGCGGGCTTGCCGGAGTGTACAATGTTACATCAATCTCAAGCATGCCGTTGGTGTATCCGTGGCTTGCTTGTCCGCGCGAATTGTTGTCTCGATTTTCAATTGGAAAAATCAAGAGACCTTCTTGATCCCCTATCAGCCTGATGATTTCATATACAAACTTTTGAGTATTAATGAATATAATTAAAGGTGTAAATGTGAAAACTATGAAATTTAGTATATGCTTCTAGAGAAATAATGGTTGAATTGAAGAAATCAGATTAACAATAGAATATGAATTTTGGAATGAGTATTATGAGAAGGAATGTATCATTTTGTTATTAAATACTTAGATTATTGGAGATATATAGATACACTCATTTTAAGGTTACTATTAATATCAAATTTATAGTCAAAAGAAAATAAGTAGGGTGATGAAGGGGGATAATCAATATAGCACTGATTAGCTAGCCCCATTCACCAAATAAAAACACACTAGATAACATATTAACATACATCAGACAATATGACAATATAATATGTGTTATGTGAACTATTATCATGTATGTATTGTATTTATATTATATTAATTTATACTTTATTTTATCAATTTATATTCCATGTGCTAAGCACTATATCCACTCAGGAAAGAGACTAGCTCAACCCTAGAATAAGACACTTCCAATTGGCGGGACTCACGATTTATAATTAGCAAAGTAACAATAGTCTATTGAAAATTATTTAGTAAAAAATGTCATTTTTTAATGTGTGCTTTTGTAATTTTATTTTCATATTTTGGTTGAATGGGGGGTGTTTTGCATAAAAAAAAAAAATAAAAAAATAAAAAAAAAATAAAAAAATCATCGTTTCGGATATATGATATTTTTTAGAGAAAATAAAATAATGAGAACACACCAAAACACAACCCAAGAAAAAAAAAATAGAAAATAAAATAATGAAAACACACCAAAATACAAAATGGTTCGATGAAAATCTCTAAATTTAAAATCTATACAAACAGAGCATAAAAAAGGCGAATTAATGACTCCTTTCCGAGAATGAAAATCTGAAAATTTATTAAAACAAATCATTATACTAAAATACTTATTGAAATATACAATGAAAAATCTTTCTTCTTTTTTCATAATCATACAACACTTATTTTACAAATGAATTTAGTACTGTATAATCACCAGATTGCATTCTACTAAAATTATTAGAATTATAATGTCGACATGATAACAAAGACCGAGAGAGGAAAGAACAAATTAAAATCAATAGTGAACAAATAATTACTTAAACTCACCCGTGATGACGAAGCCAGAAAAACATTATAATTCCCAGCACAATGTGAAGGAAGTTGTTTTCCAAAAAGTTGTTTTGAGGATCCATAACTCAAATAAACGTACAATCGGTGATTTGAAAAATGCTTGCCGACAGAAAATCTACTTTGAATTCTTATATTGCTTGATATATGACAGAAGAAAACCTCGTTTTATAGGCAGCATTCGTTATTTATTTCGTAAGTAAAATAATGTTGTGCTCATATATATAGTAAGTATTATAAATGATTGTCGTAAAGCGGGATTCACTTACTATAAATATTTTCAATAAATATACGATGCTGACGCATACTTTGAAAATGTGTTGTTTAAAATAATATTAAGATAAGTAATAATATGGAGAAAATACATTGTTTGTTCTTCCAAAAAATATTTTTTCGATATAATTCTTAATATATATAATGTATATATTATTATCTCAAAAAAATTAATATTCAATATAAAATTATATTTTTATATTATCTACACAATTTCCTATAACTCATATAAAACAATATATATATATATATATACTTCAAACCAAAATATTAAAAAAGTAGTTGTTGATTAATGAATTGAAATCTTACTTTAATTTTAAGTTATAGAAGGGAAATGAGATACGAAATGTTTTTGCAATGTAAATGAAATCAGTTGAAGGATTCTAAAGGATTTACACTATTCATACAATTTTTTTCTCCAAAAAAAAAAAAATCAAATCAAACATTTATTTTTATTTTTTTTATATTATTCTAAAAATCAAGTTTACATTCAAAATATCACATCAATACTTATTTATATCACATCATAAAATTATTCAAACTCAAAATTTTTACTAAAGCCCCACACAAGCA